CTTTTTTTCATTTTGAAATAGCAGTGAAAGATAAAAACAAGATCTGGGCTTCCTCTATTTCAGTGGAATCTTGAGCCATATACCACATATCGGCAGATGTGGTAAGAGATGCTTCACGCCCACGAAAACATCTCGCACCTAACCCCTTGTGGAAATAGGTCAGCACTAAGTAGTTTTAACTTCTTCAACTGATAAATACACAATTGCTGTTTTTATTTGTTTAATAATTATGTTTTATGATAATTAACCGTGTAACATAGAAACAGAATAGGAAATGACAGGCTTTTGTCAGGCCTACCAGAGCACCGGCACCTATTAGATTGGCACTGCACTCCTGCAGATATGCCAAGTCTATGAAATGCAACAATTTAATGCCGTAAAATTGTGCTGAAAAAGTCACTTTGTCAGACAATAACGGGAATCTTAATAATTTGACTAATTCTAATTTCGTTCTCGTCAGCATATCCTCATATTACTTTGAACGTCTTACAATTATACTAGCACTAATTTTATTGGACGGAGTTTTTAAATAAACGTCTGAGTGATACAAAAATAATGAGAAAAATAGAAAAGATAGAAATGGATGAAAGAGAGAAACGAGATTCTTAAATTACTGAAGAGAGTGTTATATGCACCATAAAATAATCTTATTTGTCTACGAAACGGAAGGATTTTAAAACATTAACTAACGCCAAGGTGTTAAAAAGAAATACTCTACGTAAAATGGAAAAAAAAAAAGTTAGAAATATTCATGAAATTAATAATCTTCACGCATTCATGGACAAAATGTACACAGTTCACAGTAGATCACTTCTAAATCAAAAGGAACTATCTGAATATGCCTCTAAACTTGAACATCTGCAAAATAGGCCGTATTTTGGGTGGCCAGCTCATTTCAGCTTCAGCAGTGTGGCAAAATTATGGAGCACTTTTTTTTCATTTTGAAATAGCAGTGAAAGATAAAACAAGATCTGGGCTTCCTCTATTTCAGTGGAATCTTGAGCCATATACCACATATCGGCAGATGTGGTAAGAGATGCTTCACGCCCACGAAAACATCTCGCACCTAACCCCTTGTGGAAATAGGTCAGCACTAAGTAGTTTTAACTTCTTCAACTGATAAATACACAATTGCTGTTTTTATTTGTTTAATAATTATGTTTTATGATAATTAACCGTGTAACATAGAAACAGAATAGGAAATGACAGGCTTTTGTCAGGCCTACCAGAGCACCGGCACCTATTAGATTGGCACTGCACTCCTGCAGATATGCCAAGTCTATGAAATGCAACAATTTAATGCCGTAAAATTGTGCTGAAAAAGTCACTTTGTCAGACAATAACGGGAATCTTAATAATTTGACTAATTCTAATTTCGTTCTCGTCAGCATATCCTCATATTACTTTGAACGTCTTACAATTATACTAGCACTAATTTTATTGGACGGAGTTTTTAAATAAACGTCTGAGTGATACAAAAATAATGAGAAAAATAGAAAAGATAGAAATGGATGAAAGAGAGAAACGAGATTCTTAAATTACTGAAGAGAGTGTTATATGCACCATAAAATAATCTTATTTGTCTACGAAACGGAAGGATTTTAAAACATTAACTAACGCCAAGGTGTTAAAAAGAAATACTCTACG